CTCTACAATATACTCAATTCTGCTATTCATCAGTATTTCGCAAATACGTACGACGCATTTTTCAATAGTGTCCTTCAGAATTGTAACTTCTATCAGAAATTTTAAGTATTGGGTACAGCATTGCCAGTGGATAATATAAATTAAACTTGAATTCAACTGCAATTATTTTATTACTTTTATAATAGAAATTTAACAAATTATGGAGAAGAGAAAAACGCGGCATATATTTTTAACTGACACTTACAGAGAGAGAGAGAGAGAGAGAGAGAATGCCACATGTTGGAGTTTGACATATGTAAGACAACCGTGTTACATTATATTTAAAAATATTCTCATCATTTCTATAGGTAATATAATAAAAATGGTAATAGAATGGGCAGTAATAACAGAATTTATACTGATAACAATTGACAGCAATTATTATAATGTTGGCGTGGGTGATTTTACACCACGAGTCATGGACTGGCGGTTACATCGGGCGAGGGCGGGTGAGGGCGGACGAGGGCGGGCGGCAGATTGGTGTGCTTTATCAGATAAGGGAATTTTGCGCCGGCACTGAACTGATTATCTCTCTGATGTAATCATTGTAGCAGTATACGTACCTGCTGTAACTATTTAATGTAACATTATTTAAATCAAATAATTATAATTAACAATTATATTACCATAATTGTTAATTATAATTATTTGATATAATTTAATATAAAAGTAATAATTAAAATTGGATGAAATACCTATTAATTCATAGAAATAAGTTGATTGAACTTTCATGCATACTAAGTAACTGAAAACAAAAACTATTTTAATTAATTTGCCAGTCATATTGATCATCAGAGACGAATATAATATTTGTTTGATAAAATTTTACTCAAAACTTTTTATAAAAAATCCATTACAACCAAGTTATACCGACATATTAATTTAATCTAATATAGCTCCGATTGTCGTTATTGAGAACTTTAACCATTTTTTGGTGAAGGTACAGAAAACATTTTTTATAACAATACCATTATTCAGATAGTCCTTCGTAATTATCGACTACAACTATGAAATTGCCAATAACATGAACTTTGCCAGACTGTTGAACTTGTGCCAGTTCTTTACAAAAGGCCTATGAATCAGACTGACGGATTATTCGCCTCACCTTAAACACTGTACACAAAGTACATACACCGTTTTTGTATCAGTAAAATAGTAATAGGCATTTATTAAAGAATCCATGCTTTATCGTTCAGATATCTAATCGTTTATCGTTACCTTTACTTACACATTACGCCACTTCTATTCATAAAATAATCTAATGATTTATAACTGACTATCTGATCAGGTGAAGTGGTTATATATATTATACTTATCGAGAATATCATTATGCTTTTCTTCATATGGTACTTACCCATGTGGAGTATACAATAACGATGTTCCGAAGCATGCATATTTCAAATTCTATATTACAAAGATTACTACATATGTAGGTATATCATGTGCAGAGCTACTTTAAGAACAAAGATTCTATAAGTATATAGGATATTTTTTAGGTATTTATTTATTTGTTTTGAATTCGTTGTGCAGTAAGGGAGTAAATAAATTTATTTATTTATTTTAGTAATTATTAAAAACAACAATGACTGACAATTAAAATTATGTGACTGTGTGCCAAAAGCAGCATAGCTTTATGCGCTTTATACCTATATGATACATATATATATATATGTGAAGAGTTCCAAATAAGTATTAATTACTAAAATTTAAGATGTTTAGGAAGATTTAATTACTGTAATAGTAATAATGACCAAATACATCTTATACAGCATCATTTCGTCCAATTAAACTATGTAGCTACTAAACAATAAATAGAAATAGATAGAATACATTACATTTCTCAAGCATGCAGTTGTACTTGATAATAAAGAAATCATTTAGATCAATGCAAACAAACACATTCCTAAATACAGATAATTGCATCGTGCAAGAATTAAACCCGTGGCAATCGGAAGTAAAGCGGTGTGCTAATCGCTAGACCACCGAAGCCGTCAGAGTTGTAGCAGAATGTTAAGCGCGATTCCATTATATGAAGTACACCGTGGTCTGTATATTTAGTGGATAACAATCATATACCACGTGCGATCCACTGCGGTTGGATAACATTAGTGAACATTTTCCACACGTTCAAATAAGGGTTTGATAGATATATCTAAACTTAGAATAGGTATTTATCTGATTCAAACTTTCATACATGGAGGACCAGGTGCTTATTCTGTTTTCTGTAGGTGAATATACCTGCTACACAATTATAAATTATTATTCTGTACACGGAAATGTACTTACCTACTTTCTTGAAACTAGTGGTTGATTGATTCATATGCTTGTGCAAGTGTAATAACGACGCAAATGACCTTGTGATATGTTTTACCTTGTTTTATTTCAATAGATATATAACTATATAGAAAGATACTAAGCTAAATGTTTAGTACACTAAACATTCAACTTTTTTCGATTCGATTTTCGAACAGATGATAGAACATACTTCAGTCAATCTACTTTTACTCCAGGCTTATTTTCCAATCGGTATAAATTATAGACCCAAGACGCATAACATAAACATATCAAATGGTACTTACTTCGCATTTGATTCTTAGATAGAATTGAGAATCTCCTTTTATTTATTAAGAAGATTAAGAAATATACATACACATTTTCAAAAACTTGAGAGTATAACATAACTAGATACACTACTTTTATATATTACATTGAAAGTACATACATAATAATATATTCACTCGTATAATAATAATACGTAGTCTATAATCGACGAAAATCTATAGTTACCGCCGATAGCAGGTACTAGCCCTAAAGGGCAATGATAGTACTAGATAATATTTATTACATATTCCATACATTTACTTTTACATTTGTGTCGTTTATAAGACTACAGTTTTAAAAAATCCGGAAGTACCTATTTATTCATATTTATTAGGCGGTTGAATGAAAAACAAAGGTTAATAACCGGTTACTTTGTCTGCTCCAATATAATTATTTTTCGACTACTCTACTACTATTAATATGGTAACAGATTTAGGTACAAGTTACTTAAACGTAGGTAGGTAGGTACTTATTGACTTCATATTTGACACAAGAGTTAAGAACAGGTTGGTCACAAAGTCACAATATACCATTGCTTCTATTATTAATATAAATATATTAAATATTTTACAATTGTATAAAATTATTTATGTAATAAATAATTGTCAAAATAATTTCATTTACCATAAAATTATTCGTGTTAAATCCCGTTTAACTAACTAAATATTAATAACTAGCTTTTGCTCGCGTTAATTTATCCCGTTAGGGGTGGAATTTATCAAAATCCTTAGGGTATGCCTACGTCATAGTAGCTTTATGCTTGCAAAGTCTCAGCCCGATCGGTTTAAAATTGACAAAGTTTCATATAAACTTTCATCCCCTATTTTATCCCTTTGAGGGTAGAATTAATCAAAATCCTTTCTTAGCGGATGCCTACGTCATAACATCTACCTGTATACTTATTTTTAAGTTAAAGTAATCGAATACACGAATGTAATAATATCTCAGTTCTCCGAAACTTGAAGGCATGGGAGATATTGCGTATGGTACTATAGTTTCCCATTGTCAAAACACCTTCAATGCAAACGGATGATTTGGCAAATTCACCAGTAATTTATCATGACGGTTTCTAGGGGGAACCGCGTGGATGTTAACCTGACATGGTACATGGTCAGCAATGGGATTATAAGTCCACGTTATGAATAATCCTCTTCCCCCCAACGATGCATAGTTTATTTGCTATAGTTTGCCCTAGTAATATGAAAATGAACTCTGTATAAAACATAAGCAAGTGCTCATTTGTCATCGTTGTGTAAAGAATCAATATGTTAAGGTGGAATACATATACAAGTGTGTAATAACCGACAAACACTAATGATCTGTCGTTTGGGCAGGCTCACAACTTGTTAAACGGAATATGTGATGAGGTTCCTTTATGTAATATTAAAACGAAATTGCTTTCCCTATTTCAACAATTGACTTCAATGCTAATGCTTGTTTCAGGTGGGTGGGGTCAATTAATAATGAATTATATTAATTAAAAATAAAAAAAATTCCGTCACAAAAATTTAAGGAAATGTTACGTATGTACAACACGGTTACGTTACCGTAACAAACGTCTGGGTGGATTCTGAATTTAAACTACGTATTTCATTTCAGTGAATTTCTGACACTATCTACTAATGACATAAAACCTAATACTGAATATGCACTAATAGAATATTCATAGACAGAAATAGGTAACATCCATTTCACTTTCTAATCTATGTAGGTATTCAAATTTCAAGACGATTCTTGAAATTTGAATACCTACCTAGATTTAATTCCAGTCCTTAATTACTTTACAATCTAGTGGTAATATAGACATAATAAATATTAACTATGTAACTATGCTGGCAGTGTGCATAATATTTTACTAACGTAGCTCTCGTAACAGGTTCGACACATAGTTTTAATTCAGTTCTGGTTATCTTTCGGTTCAGTTATTGCGGTTGAACTCCTTTCTTTGCATAAAAGACGAGCTATTTAGGTATCTATGGTATGTGAGTTTGGTAGTATAGTAATGGAATGGTGCACTCGCCTTCGCTAACGGTTTACGCTGGCGGGGCATCAGTGGAGGATGATAAGATAAGAATGAGGTCAGGTCAGTTAGTCCAACGTGGTAAATTCACTAAGAATTTATCACGATTCCAGTAGGAACCACGTGGAGATAAATCTGACATGTTACATGACTCGCAATGGGGTTATTAACAATCTCCTTCACCCCATACTTTGTGGGTTAGAATCCTAGATCCAATTAAGGAAGCGCCCAGTGTAGCCGTCCCATTCCTAAGAACTAAGGTCTTATATCGCTGTACTTTGAAATTTCACCTAAACACAGTGTCGCATTTCATATCTAGATTAAAAAACATTGTCTGCAGGTAAAAATGTCGTATATAGAAATCTACAACGAAAATATTAGAGACCTATTAAACCCGAGTGCGGGAGCGCTGGAACTGAGAGATGAAGGCGGCAGCGGAGCGCCAGTGGTGGCAGGCTTGAGTGAGGTTCGTGCCACCAGCGCAGCACATGTTGCGGAACTGCTAGCGCGAGGTGACCGTGCGCGGACTGCAGAACCAACGCATGCTAATCAGCACTCCTCTAGAGGACATGCTTTACTTAGGTTCGTATATTCAACCAATTACTAACTACTGCACTAACTACTCCAAGAGTAGTTATTAATTCGAATAGAATATATAAATAGACTACACAAAAAATATCATGTTCTTTAATTAAATGTTGTATTTATGACAAAAACACAATGCATTCATTTAGTTACATTGTCAAGCTGTTTGCTTTAATTAACTATGCGGTTTATTAATTAGTTGGTAACGGTTGTTCTTATTCAGAAGGGCATTAACCTTTCGCTGTACCTATATATTCAATTAACTACACAACTTAAGTAAAAAATGGAATAACACAAATTCACTTTAAGCATTATATTGTCTAATTTCAGTGTAACAGTGAGCACACAAGTAGAAGGCGGCGTCCAACGAGGGCGCTTATTTCTTATCGACTTAGCAGGTTCAGAGCGTGCTGGGTTGCGCGCGCGCAGACTCGAGGGCGCACACATTAATAGGTCATTGCTAGCACTCGGAAATTGTATCATGGCGCTCTCCGGCGGGGCTAGGTACGATATGTAAAATTACTACACTATTTATACGCATTTAATAAGCAAATAGTTGCATATTAAATTTTTGTGTGTTCTGAAAGATACGTGAACTACCGCGACTCGAAGTTGACACGTCTGCTACGGGAGGTGCTTGGTGGTCGATGCAGAACGGCTATGGTGGCGCACGTGGCCCCCGGGCATACCCATCGCGAGACTACCCGTTCCACTTTACATTATGCACAGAAAGCTTCTTCCATCACCAACAGGGTATATAAATTTTCCTATTTCTTGCGGATTTGAGAACATCTTTTATTTTGTTTTTAGTCGATATTAGAGATTACAACCGACACAGAAATAATAATTTTATTTGTTTACATATTTAATTATACGTTTAAACAATTAATAATAAAAAATGATATTGTAATATAAAAATTACAACAACATTTTTTTTAATGTTGCTAATAACTTTAAGATTTTGTTATTGTTACATTACTTATAAAATAGATAATACCTTCTTGTAATTAATTGTAGAATAGTACTATTCTTTGTGGTTTCTTATAGGTCGAAAGAGAAATGGTGGAAACCCCTATGCATTTATCACAATATCGCACTGTTATAAGTGAATTACGAGAAGAAATAGCACGACTGAAAATAAAAATGAAGGATGATCGTACAAGGTACTAAATATTGTAAAATATGTAAAATAGATTATTGTTTTTTCGACTAAATTAGCATTTCTTTAGTTTTTTATTTATAATAGCTAAGACTACACTCTTACCTCTAATATATTAGATAGTTTAATAATAATGAGAATAAAAGTAGCGTATTTTCTTGTTTAAAATTCATTGTAACTTTTAGACCGAAAGACGAGCATCGTCATATGGAAGAAGAGGTAAATAAAGAGGACGCTGCAGAAAGTGCCGCACATTTAAAGTCTTTACGTGAAGCAATTGTATCGACTTTTAAGCAGCAGATGCGTTTACGGCGAAGATTAATGGAACTAGATAGCCATCTCTTAGGATTAGCTCTGGACGCAGAAAGACAGCATGCAGCTATATCACATTGGGAGGCAAGATTCAATCGCTTGTATAAACCAATCAATATGCCCGGATCACGACTTAGTACACAGCAGAGTTACAGGTATTTAATAAACGTAAATAACTACATATTGAGTTACCTATACTTCTATATGGCAATCTTGGCACTGCCATATGAAAGATTTCTTTATTATTCTTAAGTAAGTTAGCTTATTAACCCTAACCAAATGATCTAATAGTATTTAAAAACTATCAATGAATTACAAATACACTATAAATGAGTAACAAAACCTAGACAATGTAGTTACAATGAATTCTAAAAAAATAATCTCGAAAATCATTTTAAAAATAAAGGTGTAGGTACTTAAATATATAGATTATAATATAGAGTAAAATATAGATTATATAGAGTAAAATATTAATGTTCAGTAAAAGGTACATTTGTTTATAAACACGGGAGACCATTCTAAATGTCATTTACTATATCATAACATACCCTTATATTTTATTCACGTAAACGATGCGATGGCTGGGAAGCGATAAAATAACCAAACACTTGCTGGCCTTGTAAAAACTAGAGGGTAATCAAAAGGCTTAGATTTAGAACTGGATTGTTATCGTACAATTTATGTGCAACGCGCTAGTGCTCATTATAAACAACTGTTTCAATGCCTTGAAGAGCCTTGTTCGTTTCGTTTATTGAACAATTGTAACCAACAATCAACTAAATTAAAAAATAATACTAAGTTTACAAACTTAGTATTATTTTTTAATTTAGTTGATTAATAGAGTTAATTAATATATAAATATAATTAGTTAATTCATAATTACTTTCATTTAAAAATTCATGTCACATTTTCTCGAAATAAAATACTTTATTTTGTCATTACTTGTCTGTTCCTTGCATTTCTTTTTAGTTTCTTTGATTATGCTTATCATCAACTGCCTTAATTTTATTTGTTAAAGAATTGAAATAGTACTACATTATTTAGATTGTTAATTTTAAAATATCCTGATTATTGTATCAGAGGTGGTACTGGGTTGTCTACCAGCAGCAGCGAGCGTGCCGAAGCAGAAGTTGCTGTAGAGCAGGCGTGGGCGGAACTCGCAGCCGTTGAAAGGGAGCAAGAGAGCGCTAGATCGGAACGGGAGCGTGTAGAGCGTCAACTGGAGCAGGTCCGACTTCGAGGGGCCCAACTGGAGCAGGTAAATTTCATAATAATAAGTTTTATAAACTTTGGCTGACGCAGAAAACGAAACGTGTGTTCAAAGTAAGAAATTTTGTATTATTTGCAATCCCCTAAAAAAATTCAATTTTACCCATAGGTAATTTTTTTTTCTTAGGAAACGATTAAAATAATGTTTAACATATCTATTCCTTAAAAGGAGTTACCGGCGCGCATTAGTAGCGGTCCAGAACGTGAAGTGCTAGCTCTGGTATGCCGTGTGCATGAGTTAGAGGCAGACAAGCTGGCACTGCAAGGGGAACGAGCAGCGCGCGCCCACGAGCTACGCCGGCGGGACCTGGCGTTACAACGTCGCGATGCCCAGCGGCGGCTCTCCGATGAAATCATTACTCGTCAACGAAGAACGATCGAAGGTATGCTTGTCTCTGTAGAACTAACTACTTATATGAACTTACAATAACAAAAGTAATAGAATCAGCTTTAATTCATACAAAATAAACTAAATAAATGAGCTCTAAAAGCATCTGTCGCTGTTTATCTTCCTCCTTTTACCTAGTAAACAAATATTAATTATTTACTTACGAGACGGAGGAGCATTTATCCGCTTGCTACAATTATGACTGCTAATATATATAAATCCTAATTATATAAAAAAATCTATTCAAAAGAGGAACAAGCAAGTTTCTTGTAATGAAATGCGTTGCGAATGAGTGGTACAATAAAAAATATGACTAATTAAAAGTGAGTTTATTCGAATAAAGATTATTTCTATTCTAATAAAGAGCCTATTAATACACAATCCTATTTAAGATTAGTACATTGACTTTAGTTCCAATAATCCGTCAGCAGAAAAACGTATAAACTGTAACTCAAATCCTTGTTATGAACTAATTTAAGACTGTTGCAGAACTTTATAGCTCAAACACACAGAAGAACTTATGAAACTACCGAAGGTCAATTTCTGCATTAATGATGCGATTTTAGTCTGATAAATGCTGGCACATAGCGTTATATTTGACTAAATGCCACATGCTACATAGGTAACGATCTATTTTGATCAGTTGTTGAACTGCTGATTTTAGAAATGGGCGTTGGTGTACCCCCTGAATTGGGCCAGCTGTACGAGTTGTACCAACAAGAAATACATGCCTCTACTTACACTGAGAGCAATGACATCTACACACCGCCATATCGTTTACCACCAATTTCTACCAGGTATACCTATATATCACAATACCTAATCTATTCAAATGGTAGTAAGTTTTAATAAAATTAGACAGCCAAATTAATTTCTTAAAGTTTTTGCACAGCTAATGTACATCTGTAATGTATTATATTCATGCACCCACCATATGTACTAGAATGAAGTATATAAAGAAGCCCTCTGCATTCTTTCCTCAGTCTCTTTATTACCCTAATTCTTATCGAATACTAGAAAAGATATGCCTTGAAGGTAGTGGAAAACAAACGAGTTTTGATATCATTACCAATTTTGAAAATGTTCTATATGTCTAGTCGATTTATAATATGTATTAATAACATAACTGCAAGTAACATTTTTCTTGCTATAAATAAATAGTAAGGCGTTGTATATGACGGACATATTTTCTATTTTAATTTCAACAACATATAGATAGCTAGCGGCATTTGTTTATGGATGATAATGGAATGGTGCACCCGCCTGTGCTAACAGTTTACGCAGGTAGGGCACCAGCGGAAGATGATAAGATGAGGTCAGGTCAGTCAGCCCATCGCGACAAATTCACCCAGAATTCATCATGATGGTTTCCAGGGGAAACCGCGTGGAGGTCAATCTGATATGGCACATTGCCAGTAATAAGAACATTAGTCCACATTACTAATAATCCCCTTTCTCCCGGCTAATGGTATTTTTTTTTATGGATGATAATGGAATGATGCACCCGCCTGCGCTAACGGTTTATGCTGGCGGGGCACCAATGGAGGATGATAAGATGAGTATGAGGTCAGGTCAGTTGGCCCATCGTGACAAATTCACTAAGAATTTATCACGCGTGGAGGTCAACCTAACATGGTATATTGCTGGCAATGGGGTTATCAATCCCCATTACTAACAATCCCCTTCCCCCCGGCTAATGGTATTTCAGCTTGTCGGAACTGGCATGGTCTGAAAGTTCGAGCGGATCAGGGCGCGGATCCAGCTCTGGCTCAGGAGGAACGCTGGCTTTAGATCATCGGCTACCACGTTTGGCCCCCACACCCCGACCACGGACTCGATACAGGTAAAATTATGTTTTTGTTTCATCTCCAGCTAAGGGCGGAACTGCCAATCAGTAGCGTGCTATGCCGAACTTGAATTGTTGTTATTTTTATTAACTTGTTTATTAATAAAAATAATGAAAGTTTGAAGTAAAAGATTCAAAAGTCCCCCAATAATAGTTTTTTGTATGTACATACAGTCAACGACTGTTTTTCTCAAAACTAAGTATTTGATTTTTTGGCATTTTTAATGGACTTTAGAGATTCTAAATTTAATTGAAAAACCTTACTCTTTCTCACCACACTATTTACAGGAAGAAAGTTCATTGTGTGTACTGATTGATGTCGATTTTTTAGTGCAACAATTTTCTTTTAATTTGGCAGTCAAGCTAGTGCAGTCACCATGAAGAGATATGCGAGTGACGATAGTCTTGTAATGGTAGCACCTCGAGGAACTGATAATGCAGCGCCTTGAGTTAACACGACGCAATTTACATTTGGAGCAATCATTTGTATCACTGAAAGTGATATGATGTGGATTTTGAGGTTTGCTGTTCGTATTCGTCTTGGCTACGTAAAAAAACGATGGATATAATTTGAAAGCAAATGAAGTCGATTTTAACAAAAACGTATATGTGCTTATTGTATGCTGTTGTCGGTTGCTTAACTACAGAAAAAATCAGATATGTACCCATCATGAATTTCGTAGAAAATTACACCAATTGTTTTTGTTGTTTGATAAATAGGTGTGATATAATAATATGTATAACATTGTTAACTTTGTGTTGTAAGGGTTTTTAGAAAAATTTCAAAATATTTTTACCCAACAAAGTAAAAACTGAATGATAAGGTATTTGCCAATGACTTCCGCTTATAATTACTTATCTGCATAATGATAGATTATGATTGTGTGCATTGTTCATAATTATTTATGTTAAAATTATAGAAATAATAATTCTTATTTATATTTTCGCGTTCCATTATTAATAAAGATGATTCGTGTTTAAATATACACATTATTTGATACTTTGTAACCCAGCTAGTTACCTATTTCTTTGTTTAAACCATGAGTATTTTAAACAGTATGATATATAAGTGCAGCTTTTTACATTTTGTTATAAATTTATAGACACTTTATTTTAAGTAGATATTATGACTCTTTGATATAATCCTACCATACAATATCTAGTTGACATTTTTGTGGCAATTACAACGACTTAAAGTATTACCATACGAGAACTTATATCCAATAAATATCTAGGATATTATGAGTTTTGATGATTAGAAATTAGGTATGAAAGGTATATATAAACTTGAACCACTTAATTAATCGGCAATAGTGTTAAAATTTGTCTCTGTATTATAGGTACGTGGTAGGGCTTACTTTAACCCCCGATGCAAAACAATGGTATTTAATAAAAGTTTGACGAGACGAGAGTATGTCTGTCTGTGGCATCCCTATAAGAATGGATCGCTTATAATGCGTTTTTTGTTGTTGGAAGCTATCGCTGTTAAGATGGCTTTAGCTTACATTGATGATGATTGATGATGATTTTAGCTTAAATTTTCAAGTTTTTTGTTTTAGCAGCGGTAGGCATTTTATACGCAGACTTTTAATTTTGTATTTAAGTTGTATACCAAAGAATCATTCAGCATACTGAATATGAAGACGTGTAATATATATCGTCTCTTGACTCCCTAAACGAGTTTAACGATCGTTATGAAATTTTGTATGAGTGTAGACTATTTGTATTTCTGAAGAAAATTTAATTACCGCTCTAACTTTTAATAAGATAATATATGATAAGAAACTTACATGTAGCTTTTAAAAACCTGAATAGAGTAGACAGGACATAGAGTAGGTAACACATGGAGAAACGCAAAGAATATACCTATATTCTTTGCGTTTCTCCATGTGTTACCTCATAATGATAACTCACAAGTATTGATAAGAAGTCAGTGTATTTGAATTTATAATATAAACAAACATCTGTCACAAAGTTTATTAGATAAGCTCATTTAAAAAATTGAATCAATTCACATACTTATTTCAGTACCTACCTACTTAATATTTTTTTCATGTAATGTATAGATTATTCGATATGTAATTAAGGGTAAGGACCTATCTATAAAAAATGCGAGTTGTGAACTATCTTGTTCACTTTGTGAAGTTTTATTGTCTGTAATTATTGTGAACGTTTAATATTGGTTAACGTTGACATTTCTTTACAAACAACACAACAAAAGAGTTTTAACATAAAAAATAAATTAACAAAATATGTAACTGAATTATAAAGTAAATTACACTTTTGAGACATAAATGCAAAATTATTGGCTAAGTCAAAGGTCTCAAAGAAGATCTAATGCTACAATAAGCCAAGAGACATCCGCTCATAAAAATATATCAAAGTTAATAGAAATTATTAATTTGAATTTACTAGAAAATATTTTAACAAATACTACACGTATACTACAATCTCATCGTTGGTATGAGCAGATTATATTATTTGGTATAATCATAAATCTTACCTAAACTAGGCAGACTATTAGATAGATAGTGCCTAAATCTTTTATATTATTAATATATTTAATAAAATGTATTAAAATAATAATAAGTACATCCCGAATCCTTTAAGGATCAAAAGGATCATAATTCAGGAATGCCAAATAAAGATTTGAATATTAGATCATACTCAGTGATTAAATGACGACACTTATTATAACTTCAGTGAAAGTAGCGATTAAAATGATTGACAGTCTTTTTAATAATCATAATATGCGGGAAAACGATGTTTTTTTTCATCGAACTGTTATATTTATTAATAAATATTATTTGATATAAATCCAAATTTCTAAATATTCGGCAAGACATTGAACAAAAAGGAACGTTTTTTTATTTAATACCTATCTACAACTATCTACTTGCAAAAATATGGCCACGTAATATAATATTATCTTACACATAAAATTAATATTACATAAACAATATTATTAACTAAGAGGGACTAACACAAGTTTGCAAGTATACCTATATTATACGGTAATATACATTAGAATAATATAATTTTATTAAGCATAAGCTTAAATTTTTTGTTAAACGGTAATATTTTTATAAATTAAGGAAAATGACTAAATTACTTTATGACCTTTGTCTCACCTCACTACATATTTTTTACTTATTATATCTCTTAGTAGGTAGGTATACCTAACTATAAAACTAAGCATAGACGCCCCCGCCGTCGTTTACAGCTAAGTGCAGTTGAACCAGCACATTCTGTACCTATTAAAAATTATTTCCTCATATTTGACTAATACATACAGCTAACATCGACGTCTTTTCATGACTAAGTTAAGAAATCGGTGACATATGCGCTGATGATGTCACGAGAAATTGCAGACCGCATTTACTAATACTTTAAATCACAGACAATAAACAAAAGTCCAATAAATAATGTTGAAGAATATGAAGAGAATGGGAAATAAGACTCGGGATCGTTTGTCTATCCATGTAGCGATTTCCTGGGGGGTCATTGTGGTCCAGGTATGGTGTTTGGGTGGTTCGTCGGAGCCGTCGCTGTCGGTACCCTGGCCCTGTTGCTGTCTGTTGGGACCGCCGCCACCAGCTCCCGGCATGAGATCGTCGTAACTTTGTGTTGTAATCGTCGGCAAATTTAATGCAGACGGGAAACTCTGAAACATTTTGAGGCAACTATTATGCTTAGAGTAGATTTGGTTGTCGAATTAATGAGGATCATGCCTAATCACTAAAAACCAATAAAAATTTGTAATTAAGGAATAAAAATAATTAGTTTGACAATACTAAAATTTTCGGATGTCCATCGAATAGTTTTGAAAGATACTTGTATATTATTAATTAAGTAGTAGTGATTGAATGACACGAGATCACAATGTTATTAGAATAGGTTCTCAATATTAAGCATACCTATTATAAGAAATATTGACTATTCCACATAAAATATTAGCCACATACTTACCACGTAAAATTATCCTCATAATTGGAATGCATGCACAATAAGAAAAGATATAATTCATTACATGAAAATAATATTTCGGATCAATAGTTTGATTAATTTTTACTACCTCCTCGTCACGTTTTTGGTACTGAAATTTTATAATGTCTTAGGGGTAAAAAGGACTGTTGATAATAGTTTATTTAAAAAACGTACGTGCACTGTTAGATAGTTGTTGTAGCCTGGTCCTGCGGGGTCGGTGCTTGTATCTTGGTTGAGTGAAGAACAGGAGCGTGACTTGGAGAGCTGCGGTGACGTTTCTTGTAATTCTTTCTGTAGTTCCTTCCGAGCGAGCCGAGGCGTCAGCGTGCTCTTCAAAATATATTTGCTGTTGACCTTCTTGAGATTAACAACTTTCCTGGAAATTGTTAAGATTAATTTAAGCGGTTATTAGGATGCAGTATGCGCGAATGTCCTTTGAACGCCTTTGGAATATTAAAATAATGTATATTATGCGTTAGTTTATCGAGTGCTATGTTAAAACCTAGTCTTTTTGTTCCAGTAAGTTCTTTTATACTAAAACACACTTTACTTTTAAGGCTGTGTTTTATTGGCGAAGTTGTTTGAATACCCAAGCACTATCAGTAAAAACAAAATAAAGTAATATAAGTAGGTCTATGTAGATAGTTATATTATATTATTACTATAATAATATTAGGTACCTAATAATACAATCAGGTGGTCAGTAGGTTGAATGTTTTAATTGAATTCATGTTGTAGCTAATTAAATAAGGATTTTTTAACTCGTTGCTAATCTACTTATTAATGAATAAGTAAAAAATCACAAACCACAAAACAATGAAAATTTGTCACTTGTCACAAACAAACAGTTACTGTGAATGGGGTTTAGGAACCTATCGTTGTAATTCATACATACCAGGTATAGATATAAATTATACCACAAAACCACAATTAAATCTGAGGGAAAATAATATTATGAAATAACTTTTAAAGAAAATACGTACTTCCTTCGCCAAATGGTATTGACGAAAGCGAATTCTACGAGTGCGGAGAAGATGAACCCAATGCAACCGAGGAACCATATTTCACTGGCTTTGATATACGACACCTTAGGCAGCGTTTTGGCCTGGCTGGACGCCAGGGTGATGAAGGACAACATGGTACTGGTACCTGCAATGCGAAAAGTAATAAATAATGTTTCATTTGTCTTTTGAACAATTGTTTCACTAGGCTACAAAATATTGTTATTTTTTATTTAATTTTGTTATGTTAATATAAATATTTAATATCTGTTAAGTATGTTTTCGGATACCTCGAAAGATTGTGGTTTTTTTCGCAGAACACTTGATGTAATTCCATCGGAAAACAATGAATTACATTTGCTCCTGGCATTGAATCTTTCATACTTATATTGCCTATATATTTATCACAATATTACCTTTCGATACACAAATATATGACAATATATAGAAATTTAAGGTAATTTTGAATCATTTCAGATAGCAAATTTTGAAGCTCTATAGTGTTATAACATAGCTTTATTTAAATGACCAACTGATGGATATATTTCATTTAATTTTTTGTAAATAGGCTTCTCAATAAACTTAATATACGCTTTGTAAGTATTTATAATTTGATAGCATATGCAAATTAGTATGGTTCATAAGATTATTATGGCCTCAGTCCACACCGATGTTTACGGGTTCGATTCTCGAATATATACATTTATAGTAATGAGTGTTATTATTAGTATTGGTTGTTTTGTATTCTATGTATATAATTATTCACAAACAAGGAATGTGTGTAATATGTACTAAACAACTAATATAAGTAGGGACATTTATATTAGTTGTTTAGTACATACCTACCAATAGTAAAAGTTCTGCCTTAGTTTTGTCTAGATGACACAGCGCGATTTATCCAAGATTATTATTATTTTAGAAAGAGTTAAATATGTATCTATAACTTAGTGCTAAGAAAGTATAGTACTACTAGAGCATACCTAAAGTAATTCTAGGAGCTGAGGCATCAGCTTGTAGCCAAAATGTTACCCATGACATGGCAACTATCATCATAGATGGAATAAAATAATCCATCAGATAGTAACCTACTTCTCTTCCCAATTTAAACGTAAACTTTAGGGCACTGTAATTTCCCGCTGCAATTAAATTCACATTTTAACCACCACACTTACACAATATAAAAAAATATTGATGATATTAATGTCTATATGGAAATGCTTTCTAAGCTTATTAATGGTTTTTAAAGTTAAATTGTATTTAATTTAAAACATATATTACGGTGTTTAAAAATGCACTGCGAAGAACTTTATAGAATTATTAGGGGGAAATAAAAAAAAACAATGTAAGTATGTGTACATTACACTACAATAAATTATGTAATTAATTGCAAATATGTAATCTAATAATTTTATTTTATTCAATTTAAATTTAATTATTTAGACTTATTTAGACATCTCATGGTCCCTAATAAAATATTGCAAATATTATGGAAGTTACATTTAAATTAGGTGCTACACAAAAAAATGGGCTTTTTACAGGTGCAGTAGGAAATAACACAGTGCAGTGCACAGTGGAGTAGAATGGAAGCGTAAGAATGTTCTCCTTACGCTGACCAGATTTCCGTCACCTAGGAATTTGCTGTATATGCAATGCAATAATGGTGAACCAGATCTACATTGATAAGGAAATAAAAATATAAGCATTTTTTATTTCTCTATTTTTTCAAAATCCTGAATATCGCACCTTATTTACAATACATTTTTAGGCACCACATACTTATGTTCCTAAATTAAATTTTTATATGAAATATGAAAAAAGTTATTACTTCTACTACCTCCTATGAGGCGCATACTAGAAATATCTCCACGCACGACAGACTCATTGGTCCAAAAGTCTATTAGTGAATATTCTGTGAGATGTAACTCTGGCGATAAATGAACAGGCGGAATTCCTTTCTCCCACATTAGTCGTAAGATCGATGCGTTGTATTTCCCTGTGTACAAAACGGACAACATAAGTATTCGCCAGGAAAATAAAATATTATAGGTATCTACTATATGTATAAGAGATTTAACCACTCAGTACTTACAACTTTCAAGATTCATTGAACAGGTTTGCTCGTCAAATGGAAATTTTTGTAAATTCATCCAACAATAAAGTACAGCCTGCATACGACGGCTGAAAACCACTTCTCCTGAGGGCGATATAGAGATAAGAACATCTTTACTGTCGGTACCCATTAAACTTGATGACTGTTCATTCGACATGTACAGATGAGGAACCCATATCCGACGTCTTAGGTCGTCTTCGCCAATAATTGTCACACGATTCGGTGAATAAAGTTGGTACGCTAGGCGTCGGTCAGTCCATCTCAATTGTAGAAGGAAATGCAGTTTAAAATTCTGAAATATTATAATGTTTATATAAGCAGGAACACTTCTAGTTTCGTCACATTTTTAACAATACTGAAGGTACATTATGTTCGTACCTGCTTTACTTACTTGCACAAGATTACCTAAGATTAGAACTAATTTTCGAAAGCATGTCTTTTTGCAAGGTAGGTAAAAAACTAACTTTGTCCGTTTAATTTCCTCTTAGGGTCCAAATTGCTCGAGCCAACTATGTAATGTGATTTATATAGATTTCAATTGGACATTGCGGATAAAGTCGCTGGCAGAAGTAAATCTTATGAGCTCGTGCTTCTCCGAAAATATTACATTAATACAATATAATTAGAAACGTCTGATAATAAGTGCTCTTATAATAAAAAAATATCAGAAAGGATATGTTTGACTTTTGTGTAATTCAAAATATCTCACCAGATCGTGTGCTTCAGCTGGTTGTATGAAGTAAACGTATGCACTAGCATGCACGTATACTGTCTCACCAGTAGGGTATGTGGGGAGTAGGAGACGGTCATATCTGCATTCATCTGCCAGTCGAGACAAGAACTCCGATTGGGTGTAGTTATCGCCATCTGTTATCGACGGACATTCTAACCCTGGTGTAGACCTGTAGAATTGAAAGTAAGTAGGTATTATATTTCAGAATAGCGTTTATAGAAATTACTAGAATATAGTAATAATTGTTTATGTCAATAAGTAGATATTACAGGAAAGAAAGCATGTCTCGTCACAAGGGACCTAAATTCTGCCTACGCCCGTATATGCAGCGATATAATAGAATAGCATAGGTAAAGCGTCAGACCGTAGTAAATCATGCAAAATACGATGAAATGTTTTAAAAAAAGGTTCGTGGTTGAAGACTCATTTTACTTGTCAATACAGTTCAGTGCGTAAATTGTTTCCTACCAAAACTTCTAGTACTTTTGACATAAGTTACCCAATTCACTACGATTGTGAGTAAATGGGGTTAAAGGTACATAATGCATGCCATGCATATATACAGATATTATTAACTTAATTTTACTACTTCTTTGGTGCCGACAATATATGTATATTTTCTAGAAATGTTTAACAATTTCGAAATGAAATGGACTGATGTAGGTAAATTTAATGTAATGCTCAATGATGATGTATTTTGGTGGTATACTTTTCAGTTCGTTTACATACAAAATCGCACACTAGAGCCAAATAGCTATATTGTGTTTTTAGACAATAGATAATAGCATTCTGTGTTTCATTGTAGTACACTTCAAGTGCTAAACTAATAGCATAAGCTCTGTATATTTAACAACAATATAATTATGAGGAATATTTGCGAAAACAGGAAAGCATTAGGTTAATGCATGGCTACATGCGTATAGACAGCAAGGTCAGTATACAGTAGCTGCTAAAGGCAAGACAGCTAATATTTGTGATACCGATAACATTGTGCACCAATTTGTTGAGATATCAAGTAGATTTGTTCTTAGATTAACCTAATAATACCTGCGCTACCTACAGTATATCAAGCGGGTTAGTATCATAACTATCATATTAAACATGGCAACATTCTTTAAATAAACAAGGCTAAACCTATGCCTAGAAAAAAAGCTTATCAACAGTGGTGTATCTAGTCATACAAAACGAGCAAATATTATATATTTGTATGTATGTACACATTTATTAATAGAAAAATTGGAAGTGGTATAACGATTTGAATGTGAATTTCTAGGCATGAAATTTTAAGGATATCTTTGTAGAAAACGTGAATAATTAGAGAAATGAGAAGAAGAACAAGACAGATTCACACAAAAGTGATTCTTCAAAAAATAAGATGTACAAGGCGGTTTCACATTGCACACTACTCATTAATAATTATAATTTTCTATGTCGTGTATGTATGTGTATCCTTCCGACTAAGTTGTAAGGTATAAGCCAAGTAGGTGTCGATATATACGATAGTATCTATATTTTATTATTAAACATATGTTATAATTACATAGAGTTTCTAAAAAAGACTACCAGACAAATGTAGTTAATATTTGCCCGACTGTGAACACTGATGGGTTAGTCAGAGGGATTGTTAATTATCGATGTGGAATCACTATGTAAAAACTGCTGATTCACATATTACATATACCTACTTTTATATATGTATTATACCTAGGAAAATATACTGTATTGCATTCAAATTTCAAAATTACAATCTTTGAGCCTTTTACAAACACGGTATAGTTTTCTTAACCTAATTATTGTCATGTCTATTTATCTTTCTCAGGTAAGTTTGTTATCTATGGTTATGCCTAAATATATTTCATAAGATCATCTTTGAGAGTACAGTGTGTACAAGTTATTGTGATAAGAGTACATACGTATAGATTGATAAATAAGTTGGATCTCTTATTGGATTATAAACAGACCGGTTTACAAAATAATCAAAACAGCTTAGGTAATATTATATTTTTCATTACTATAATAATAAAAAAGAACATATTACGTACAACTAACTTAGTTAAATTTATACACTAATCTGTCTTAATTTGTTTGAGCGTGTAAATAACTATGATAACGTGCGGCATGTTTTCACTATGACGAAAATTCGCCATGAGTTATGGCTACAACCACATTATCTTTTCTTTGGACCTTAATCTTTGCTAATATGTAGTTTTATTGATTACTTATAATAAATTACTGTCTCTGGCTATGATAGGAGTTCTAACGTAGGTAACAATAAGTGTCTACTTGAACCTTGATAAATAATTAATATAGATAATTATTGCTAATATATTGTCCAAAGGAGAATCGTCTGAAGCAGAGGTAAAGGAGGAACAAAGGCACATATGACAATATATAAAAATTAGATTGCAGTTTTTTATGTATGAGATGTTTTATTTTTTTCACAACTGTTTACTGTCTAAAATAGTCTCTCTCTTTTCTCTCTCTCAAGTCTATACCATATACCATAATACATAAACGCAATATATACCTACTACCGGGTTCATATCGGAAGTTCTTAAATATTATTATTATATTATTTAAGAACTCCCGATGTCAACCCGGTACCAGGACGTTTTTTACACCGTTGAAGCGTCTTGATATTTCGTTGTACCAATTTCGATATGCAGACATTATTTCGTTGGCATAATAACATGAATTATTAACATATTATCCGCCTTGGTTATGATCCATACACCTCATATGATTGACTTGACTGGCATGCCAATTATTAGAAAATCTAAACCGATATAAAACCTATATATAACCTACTTAAGTCAAATTTACAGATAGTTTCACTTCTATCTTTCACTCCGGTCACAAGCTTTAGGTATATAAAAAAACATATTTTAAATACAAAACAATCATTATGAAACAGTGTAACGTATGACGTCGTTGTGATTTAATATCACGGGGTAAATCACATCTGCAGAGGATTGGAGTGGTTATACAGTCTATATATATCATCAAAACAAATGTTATCAAAAATAGCACGTGATTAATAAAACGCTAAATTCTGGAAAGAATATTAGAATGACATTTGACAACTGATTTGTTTTAAGATCGTAATTACTAATAGTATCTAAGCAAATATGTCCTCATTAATTCTTTTAATATAAGTAGTGTTTTAATTAGGAATACATTGATATCATTTAAATAAATAATGTGTATTATATGTGTGCTCTACACGTCATTGTATCTATTACTGAGTTTGTGAAGAATATATCCGGAAGGTATTGAATAATTTGAAAAACTATTTGCTACTAATTAAATAAATACTTTATTTTATAAGGATTATTAATAAAATGGTTCACCCGCCTGCATTACCAGGGCACTTATGTGAGGTCAGGTCAGTTAGTCCATCGTGACGTGTTCACAAGTAATTATTGACGCTGGTTTTCAGGGGAACTACAAGGAGGATGTCCTGACATATTACATTTCTAGTAATGGGGTTTCTAACATTTAGTGACAATTCTTGGTAACAAGAGGAGAGATAATACTGATATTATTATTGTTGAAAAACAATATGCTGTAAAAGATATAAAAAAACGAAATTTCGTCAGATAGGTAAATATTGTCTTCCAACAATAATGACAACGGCTGCTATCTAAAATAGTCTCTCTCTTTTCTCTCTCTATCAAATTTATACCATAATACATAAAAATAATAATATATATTAGATTAAAAATCACCTACTATTACGTGAAACTTCTGAGTTGACTACATCAATAATAGTTAAATTAATTATAGCATATTCTCTTATCAATTATTTATAGACACTTAAAATATGCAATTATATGGGTTGTATTTAAATATTTGCATAAGACGTGTGTTTACCTACGTATATATGCGAATATAGTTGCGAAGCATTAAGTAGGTAGATGAAAATGAATATTAGTAATAACATAGTCATATTGTTTATTTTCATATTTGTGCGCTAATTACACATAATATGACGTTGATATAACGTCAATCACTAGGCCACGACAGAGACTGAAGTCATGTAGAATTAATTACGAAAACTTACTACCGAACAATATGTATACTGTACGAGATGTGCATTTATCATATTGTTATATGAGAGACTACTTGCTTTTTATGCGATAAAGTAGCCTAGGAATAGGACTAACATGACATGCCTCCATAATCTGTAATTTTACTGCCACATAGGTCATCTTACACTTTGACTGAAACACCACAAAATTATAAATCAAGCGGCGGTTGAAATGTGTAGGTAAAAGGCAGAGGTAACTTCTTCTTAATTTTTAAAGACGATAAGGGAACTCATATTTTAGTAGAAAGGTTTTTAATTTGTAAATCTATTGTTTCATTTACAATTTTTCTTTTCCTTATACTTTAATACAAGGTAAATAAATATAATGACTCATGGAAGTTGCTGGGGCTTTTATAAGAAGTAACTAGGTATATATTTTTTTAAGTACATACTTCAAGTATACATATATGTACAGTTAATTTCCTTCTAAATAGTTTTCCTATAATAATAATTCTGGATAATTCACACATCGCCATTATGTAATTTGGTCGCAAGCTTTTTTTTATACCACGACGATGGCAAACAAGCATACAGCCCATCTAAAGGTAACTACCAACCCTAAAAAAGCTAAATAGAGCTTGTGTTATGGATACCATTGAAAACTGATATAAATATTTTTTTTTTTGTAAATACATTCATAATACACATAGGAAATGGTCTTGAAGCTTAATCTTACTTATATAGGTACATATTTAATATTTTTGAAAAACATATCGTATTATGTTTAAGTGGTTATTTTATAAAAAACTCTATTGATTTTGTTGTCAACCGACCTTACATCGTTGCATCACTGATCAATTGTTAGGCGTCTGTTTAAAATGTAAACATCGAAGACCTACTTCCAAATCGAATTTCCTTATAACCTTGCGACTGAGGTAAATGAGCCAAGAAAAGTTCTTGAATGGATTCGATTGAATTGTCTGAATAATCGTTAAATCATACAATATTTTGTATCAAATCATCTATTTTAGACTTAGGAAAAAATTATTTACACAAGTCGCGAAGCAGGTTCTTTTAATTATTTAATAAACGGTATTATTACTATTTTTAGGAAAAAATAAAGTAAATTGTCATATACGTTTTTATATTTAAGAGACAGTTTTTATTATTCATTTGGGTAGTCAAATATATTGTAACACTTACTAAGGTCGTACCGAAAACTAATAACGAAAAGAAATAATGTTGTACAGTGTTTTAAATAATATTTAATTAAATACCACAAGTAATTAGAGAGATGCAATTAAATACGTCTAATATAGAACTACGCAAATGGGTCTTTAAAATGCTGTTTCTCTATACGGGAATTGATATAACAAAAGTAACGATTTGATGTTATAATGTTATAACTAGGTCGATAAATTAAAAAATAGAGATACACAGTTTTCTTTTTAGTTTGCGTGTATTATTGTTGAAATAAATCAATTCTAAAATTAATTAACTTAAAAACTTGGCTAAATATGGAATCTTACTACGCACTTTTTGAAGAACCGCAGCAAAATTATTTAACAATCTGTATACGACTATGTACATATATCCTAACTATGATTATAAATTTGCTAACGTTTGCCGGCGGTATGATAATAAAACAAAGCTGTAGAAATCATGTGATACAGTTTCTTGAAATACTGTCCTTTAAACAAGCAATAAAGGAAGTAAATAAAAGTATCTCCGCAAACTTCAATGCGTAAATGCGTAATGTTTTAATAGATTGAAAAACTACCAAAAACAAGGTTGGTCTGTGGTACATGTAAGCATGTGAACGGATACCAAATTTTGAGTTTGATGATGCAAAAAATGTGATGTACAACCAGTATACGTTTTAATCGACGACGTTTGGCTACCTTGAACCTAAACAAGGGCACAATTCCGTGCTGTCATGTGACTATCGGCGTAGCCGATTTACGATGACGCTTTGCCATCGGCGACCAGTCGTGTTATGCGAGAGTCCGTCGCATAAGACGACTGGACTGTCGCATAATATGATAATGTTCACATCCAGCTTATTTTAACAGGGATAGTCAAAATTGAAATTTCCGTATTTAGAATATATCTATTTGAAAAGAAAAGATTTGAGAACAGAGGAAAATTGAATTATTAAAGAAACAGAAAGTTTAGCATTTTCAATGTACTTGAGAAAGAAGGAGTTGTTTAATACAGTATTTGTAGAGTAAGTATTAAGCGAGGTTTAATAGTAATTCCTTCATAATTGATGTTCCGTGGCGGTACATGCTAATTGCACAAAAATCTTTATTTTTAAACCAAAATCCTTTTATTTTCCATTATAAAAGTCGGATTGTTCGTCACATATTTAATCGTAGACTGCTTTACTACTTAGAATAGTTACATGGGTAAGTTAGTTACAAGTATAGTAGTTATACTAGTTCGTGTAATATCGTCCCATAACTTGAATTCGGTTTAAATAATAATAATGTGTACTTTTATTACAATTTACACTTAGTACATATACACGTACTTAGATATTCTAATAAATTGTTGACATCTGTCTTATGTACTTGGATTATCTAAATTGCTTACAATGAAAGGTCAACATATACCTAAGCCTATAATGGATTTATAAAATTATAATGCATGGGTTACCTAAGGTTAGACGTTATAATAGTCTCTAAAGGCTAATTATAATAATTATAGGTGCGTACTTTTTACCTACGCACTGTTATAAAAGGATGTAGGCATATGTATCGAAACTCACCTCAATACCTCATTTTATTGGAGTTCAAAATACATGTTTTCATGCCACATACGATAATGTTTCCCATTGTATTTGGGCTCAAATATGTATAACAGCATTAGCAAATATAGGGTAGGAAGGTAAGGGGTTCTTAGAAATATGGACTATTGGCCCCATCCTTGGCAATAGACCATGTCGTATTACACCGCACTTGGTAACTCGCCGCTGTAGTTAATGGATAATACAGTCCTGAACACTATAATTAATTTACATCGTAAATTGTCCTTCAGCAGTTTAACAACATATTTTAAATGTTACCTATCCATCTATCGATACGCCTTGAGTTGGAAAAAAAACATAGAAAAAGGTCAATTCACTACTTCCTCGGTCTGTTGCACCAATTAACTAAAACGTAATTGGTTTCGTTAAAAAACTATTCAGCATACGAGTATGAAAGTTTTTTTTTATGAATGGATACATATCCATTCACACAAAACCTTTCATGATGATGGCAGGAATCTCAGGAGAATTACTTAAAATAATTATACAAGAAGCATTTACGGTGAATCTAAATGAACTGATTCGACTCATTGATACCCATAAATATTTTGAATAGAATAAATAGCCCCTAACAAAGCATGTGAATTTGAAAATAGAGAATATTGAGAACTTTCGTTAGATATAGGTACTAGTGAAAAAACAATTATTCTCCGGTCTTTTACACTTATTTATAGCTGTAACTTTTCTTTCCGATTTGCATGAAACTAAATTTGAACTATTAGAAATCATCGAAATCGGTATTTAATAAAATATGTAATATTATCCGTCTGGACGGTGAAAACTATTTTCAAATTCTAGACATGACAAAATAAAGTTTATAGTTAAATCTTTGACAAAATTACTTTGCACGTAATTATAATTACAATAAAAATCTCATATTATTAATAATGCATACAACATATATAAATAAACGGATAAATGTCTTTATTAGAAACACGGAATATAAGAGCAATGTTTAATGTTCGGTCACGGCGAATTATCGAGCCGTGTCATAGAGACGGTCTTGTCAGTTTTTATCAAACAAGTAATAATGAATTAGCTTCGTGAAATACGGTAGCTAACGTTTGCAACAAGACTAGGTACACCTAGAAGGCTAATTCATTATAACTGCCTTCGCCGATATCTAATTACTTATCTGTTACTTACCCACTTACAACCAATTAATTTGCTACTACAGCAGGAAAATAATAATCCTAATTTTAAGTTTAAAACACAACAACTAACCAGCTCGAAGATATATTTTCAATCGACTGCCAAAAAAAGGGAGGTTCCTAATTCGATGATATTTGTTGTGTGGGTACACTACCCAGTATAGATGTCGAAACTGAAGAATATGTTTCTTTTTGTAATACGAAGAGTTACTTTCGTCCTTATACCATACTAATTTATTAAAATGTCTTGATACCTATCTAAGGTATCAAAATTCAGCAGAATTGTCTTGATTGTAAAATGTGACATTGAGATAATAAGCATTGAAATATTTTCAGTTATTTATAGTTATAATTTTCATAAACATTGTAATAAAATACTCCATGCGCATTGTATGAAATGTACAAAAGTGATAGATTATAATCGTTTTATTAGTATAGAAATTTCACTGCTTTATAACTAGACAACTGACGTTGAACAAGGTAATTAAAAGATTAGTTCACCTTACGAAAGTAATCTTCTTAAGGGGATATTAATCCTCCGATAAAATGTCTGAAATTATGAACATTTTGAAACATTTCAATACACGCGCAATTTAGATTATGCAAGGAGTGTAATGACGTATAATAAAAAAATTGTGATAAAGTTTAACACCAGGGATACGCGAATGCATTAACTTCACTATACTTATATTAAATGTAGAGTTATAGTGCCAGGCAGGCCAACTCTTATAATGTTTTTATTATTTATGGATAAAATACCATCAACAATAAATAAGATTACGTAGACACTACATGTAGATACAGTAGGTATCTAATAACATACCTACTTTCAGCAGATATTTTATACCTAATAGGTTAGCAATAGGACACGGAAACATAAATAACTCAAGACTTTTTTTAGCAAGCTAAAACCTTAAAAATATTATACTGCACGTTGGTTAGAATTAAATTGGAATATGGTTCGCAGATTTGGAATCCTAGATACTATGATATTTCATCAAACTTTACATGATTACATGATACTTCTCAAAAATATCCAACAGAAGTTTATTCGTTTTTTAGCCTACAGATTACGAGATTCGTATGATTCGACTATGTATCTTGAGTTTTGCAAAAAAATACCACCTTCTCCCTCTTAAGAAGCGTAGTGAAATCGCGGATATTACATATATAATGAGAATAGCCTCTGGTGCTGTCGACTACTCTAATCTCCTGGGTAAATTATCCATTAACGTACCACAAGGCACAATCCTCTCGTATCTGTCCCCCTAGTGTCACCAAACTATAGTATAGCAGAAGTCATTTCTCAGGCGAGCTAACAACAAAATTAATAAATTATAAATTATCTAAAACGGTTAGTATAGATCTATTTTCTAATAATATTAAATCAGCGAGACACCAATTAAGTGAGCCCTTCTTTAAATTACAATTAATTATTATTGAAGATCATGTATATGTATATACATATTTGTATAAATTCGCTATTTGTTTTGTTACTGCACTCTTGTTAATTAATCTCATATTCTTTGTTAATTTTATAATGTGTTGTTGCCTTTATATGTAGTGATGTCAAAATTTTTTTTAGAATTAGTCTGTTGTTATTTGTGAAAGCCTGTCAGTGGCTTAGTATGACGTTTATATTGATTCTAGTTAAGTATAGTCTAGTAGTCAGCCTTGGTTTTCCTTTAATAAATAAATAAAAAATATATGTCGATATGTAGGTGTACAGGTTGAAAATCAGGGTAATTAGCGTTCCACTATGCTGCCTAAACACGGCCCTAAACTTATAACCGATATCGGAACAATAGGATACCAACTAGAAAGACCGCCTCGCATATAGCCAAATCAGAAAAAATCTCATAATGTGTCCGCTGAAACGATTGTACCTCCCACCATTACTGGTCCTATAGGTATTATCCGCAAGAGATTTCGATTAAATCAGTTCAATTTAAACCCTACCTTGAACTACGTATCAAATTCAAATTTTTTCAAATTCAAATTCAAAATATCTTTATTCATGTAGGTCTATTAGAGACTCTTATGATTTGTCAAATCTACCGTCAGTTCGGAATGATATCGAGATGAGAAGAACTGACAAGAAACTGAGCTCGTATTTTTTTCAAATAATAGTGGAACATGTTTATAATAATATACAGTCATTAAAATTCAAATTTGGGAGAATAGAGTGACCACCAGCATATGCTATCGCAAAGAACAAAAAATTTAATCAGTGTTCACAACCTGAACAGACCAGTCCCCACAAGCAGCACCCGTTCACAAGTATGACGTATGAGCCAGCCATCATTGTACTCAACCATATTTGAGGGAGCACATCGACCCGGCCCACCACGCCGCCACAAGTTTGAACTTTATAGCGAGCATGACTGTTTCAGGTTACTCCACTACGTCAATTATATTATTTACAGCATAGGCTGTACCGATCACAGTTTTCACCCATTACAATATTAAATTTACATTATTTAGTTTACAATATGTCATTACAAAATTTATAATAAGTTTCTTTAATGTTATTACATTATCCATGTCAATGGGAAAAATTATATACCTCATAACAAAAGTTGAAGTTGTAATTACCTAAGTCCACACATTGTAGTCATTTAAGTAGTCGTTTATTTTATAATAAGCTTTAGAGCAAAGTGTTTTTTTTACATGTATCTTAAATTTGCCTTCACTTAAATTTAAAACACTATTTGGCAATTTATTATAAAAATGTATACAATGTCCCATGAAAGATGTACTTACTTTTTTAAGACGATAACTAGGCATATTTAATTTATTTTTATTCCTTGTATTAAAAGCGTGTGACTATTTTTTGGAAATAAATTTAAGTTTTTGCGTACGTACATAATATTTTCATATATATATTGAGAGGGAACAGTAAGGATATCTGTTTCTTTAGAGCGTTCTCTAAGAGATTCGCGACACGGTAAATTATATATTGAACGAATTGCTCTTTTTTGTAATATAAAAATTGATTCTACATCAGCCGCTCTTCCCCACAATATAATACCATACGACATTATACTATGGAAGTAACTAAAATACACTAGTTTCGCTGTTGCAGTATCAGTCAACTGTCTAATTTTTCTGATAGCAAAAGCAGCCGAGCTTAGTCTTTTGGCTAGTGTGAATATATGTGGTCCCCACTGCAATTTATTATCTATTACAATACCAAGAAACGAAGTCTCATCAACAAAGTCCAAAACATGATGATTCAGACTAACAGTTGTCGTTACTTGTTTTACATTTGGTAAAGAGAATTTAACACATTTTGTTTTCATTGAATTAAGCGCTAGATTATTTGATGTAAACCAGTTTAGAACATCCTCAAGAGCAATATTTATATTATTAAAATCCTTTGTATTTCTTTTCACTTCGAAAATAAGTGATGTGTCATCAGCAAACAATACTATGTCAAGTATGTTTTGAAACTGGTATGGTAAGTCGTTTATGTAAACAAGAAAAAGAAATGGGCCAAGTATAGAACCCTGGGGTACACCCATTTTTATAAATGACCCCTTGGACTTGCTTCCTTTAATGTCTACCACTTGAATTCTATCGCGCAAATATGATCTAATGAGTTCTGAGGACTTTTCACTAATTCCATAATGTTCTAGTTTGCGTAATAATATCCTATGGTCAACGCAATCAAACGCTTTAGAGAGATCACAGAAGACACCAATGGCATCCTGTGAATCTTCCCAGGCTCCAAAAATACTTTGTATTAAGTTAATGCCTGCATCAGTAGTAGACCGTCCACTCGTAAATCCGAATTGCTGTTTATGAAATAAATCATGTGTAT